CCTGACCTTAGCGGAAAAGCTTTCAGTTTTTCTCCATTGAGAATGATATTTGCAGTGGGTTTTTCATAGATGGCTTTGATAATATTGAGGTATGTGCCCAGAGAAATCTAATCTTATGTTGGAAAAGCAGAAAAATCTAAAGTTAATAACCTAAGCCTCCGCCTTAGGAAACTAAGAAAAAAAACATGATCTTAAAGCAAGAAGAACAAAAGAATAATAAAAATTAGAACAGAAACTGACGACATACAATAGAACAAATCAACAAAACCAAAGACTGGTTCGTTGGAAAGATTAATAAAGTTGATAATCCTCTAGCCCAGCTAAGGAAACAAAGAATGAAGATATAAATCACCAACATAAACTTAAAATGTCTGTATCCTTTGACCCAGGAATTTTTCTTTAGATATAATTGCACACGTGGGAAATGATATGTGTAGGGGGTTATTCAATGCAGTATTGTTTTCATTATCAAAAGGTGGAAAAATGTAAATACCTATTGATTGGCTACTTTTTAAGTATGGCACATCCATACTTTAAAATGGGGATGTTCCTGATATACCAATATGGAGTACTTTCTAAGATACATTGGCACATAAAAGAAAACAGTGTACAGAAACCAGGAGTCTAGTATGCTGCCATTTGTGTAATAAAGAGGGGGGGCAGAATATATGCGTGTATTTGTGTATGTATGAAAAGAAATCTGGAAAATATATCTGAAAATAATATAACAATATACACTTCTGAGAAGGGGAAGTGGGTAGCTGAGAAACAGGAGCTAGAAGGAAACCCTTGACTACACATCCTCCAGTATGTTTTGGGATTTTTTTTTCTTTAAATAGGCTCCATGCCCAGTGTGGAGCCCAATCCAGGGCTTGAACTCATGGTCCTGAAATCAAGACCTGACCTGAGCTAAGAGTCAGATGTTTAACTGACTAAGCTGCGCAGGATCCCCACATTTTGGATTTTTGATGTATACTTTAATTAAAAAAAAAAAAACATGAAATTTTTAAAAAGTTGACTATTTTCCTTTTGTCCCTTCCCAGAGATTCTGGTTTTTAGCCAAGGAATCTGCACTGATGCAGGAACTATAGATGATGCAAAGAACACACTGTGAACAACTGAGATCCACATCAGAGGTCCACATATCAAAGTATTTGAAGAGAGGTGTCACCAGGAAGTGAAGCTAAAGAGAGCTAAAGGTGACATCCAAGTGTTGATACCATAGCATGCGGAAATTTTAACACTGATCTAAACAGGGTAAGATGGAAGGGGAATTTTCCAAAATAAAGGACAAACCATTCCATGCAGATGTAACTGGGAACTAGATGCCTTTACTGTTCTAGCTGCAATCTTAGTGCAGATTCTGTCATCGAAGAGAAATTGCTGACATTACAATTGAGTTATGGAAATGTCAATAGAGTTCCTTTCTTTTGATTCCTCTTTTTCTCCAAAATTGCTGATTACGATCAGCCTCTAAGTTTCAAACAAGCAAGTTTTATATAACTTTCTCCTTCTCCCTTCTAAAAAAATGTACTTGGTATAGGATAGAACATTAGACAGTAACACACGAGCACACACACAAAGTCTCTCCAATAATCGCGTCCATACTGCCAACTTTCCTCCTAGAATCCTGTCCCTCCCACCCTACCCTACTCCATCCCACCCTCATTTATTAAAAAAACATATATTGAGAACTTATGTTTCTGACACTACGTACTGGAGACAGAGTCCTACTCAAGGTTCCTCCACTCGTGATGTGTACATACTAGTGGAAAGAGGTAGAAAAAAGAAGGAAAAGCAGAGAAATCAACTAATTAAATATTTTCATATAATGATAAGTGCTCTGGGGAAGAGGGAACACTTAGGTTGGGTAGTCAAGGAAAGTTTCTCTGAAGAGGTTATCTGAGACCTGAATGATGAGAAGAAGCCAGTCAAGTGAATTTCTGGAGCAAGAACATTCCAGGCAGGGGAATAATGAGGGCAAAGGCCCTGATTCTTGAGGAATACAAAGACCAATATGGCTGGGGCATAGTAAACTAGGAAGAAGGCACCAATGTATTGGGTGAAAGAAGTAGGCTATGTGGGTGAACGTGCATCCTACTACAATTTATCTCCATACCTTTTGATGATAGGCTGGAAATATAATGCCACCAGCCCCCTTTAATACTTCAGTGTATTTTTCCTAAGAACAAGGATATTCTCCTGCATAACCACAATACAGTTATCATTTCCAGAAACTTTAACATTATTAAATTTATCTAACCTGCAGTCCTTTTTCCAATTTAAACAATTATTCCATGAATGTTCTTTATAGCATTTCTAAGTACATAGTCTTTACACCATTTCTTAGTACAGAGTCTGGTCCACAATCACAGACAGCATATAGCTGTCATGTCTCCCTAGTTCCTTTAATCTGGATTAACTTTTTAGCCTTTTCTTGTCTTTCAAGAATTTGGCATTTTAAAAGAATACAGGCCAGTAATGTTACAGAGTTTTCTTCCATTTGGGTTTTTCTGATAGCTTTACCATGAGATTCAGGTTACAACTCTTTGGCTAGAATCCACATGGTGATTTTTCTGTCCTCAGAGTATCAATCCAGAAGTATGTCATGCCTTGTTGACAATATTAATTTTGATCATTTGGGAAAGGGATTGTCCAGGTTCTTCACTGTGTTGTTACTCTTTGTGGAGAGATATACATGAATTCATACCCAACAAAATGGACAGTGACTCCTGGGTTCAATTTTCTGGATTATTTAGAAAAATTTTTCTAGCCTTCGGTTCATTTAAATTAGGGTCCAAAGAAGGACCATGCAATGCATTTGATTGCTGTATCTCTTAAGCCTCTTTCAATCTCTGACCAGGGATCATAATTCCTGACCAAGTCTTCCAAGTATGGAATTCCATGATGGGGGAGAAGCATCACAGGCAAGGTCCTCGTTCTATTTCCAGCACCAAACCACAGAGAGTTTTGATTAACTGCTGGGTCCTCACTTTCCTGGCATGTTTACTTGTGGTCTCCTTCTGCTGCCGGTAGTTGCTGGGCAGTGGGCTCTCCAGGCTCTAAGAGCTTGACACCGGGTGAGGAGAAGAGCTGGGACAGGGCTCCAAAACATTAGCATAGACGAAGTCCCTGCGGGGCCTGGGCTGAGACTGCTCGTGACACAGAAGCATTCGTGAGTCACCTCAGGAGACCTGAGTTGCATGATGGGAGAAGATAAGCCGCCTTTGTCATTACCTCAGGACTTACCTGGCAGGACCATGTGCTCCTTGCTATCCCAGCTAGCTGGTGTGCAGAAGAACTGAACTCCTGGCTGAAAATGGGCCATAAAATATTTAGACACCATTACTGGGAATGGTAGAAGCTGAAAAAACTCCCTTCAAATACTGCAAACTTGTTGGGAGGGCAGGCTATAGGGGTGTGTGTGTGTGTGTGTGTATGTGTGTGTGTGTGTTACAACAAAGGCTCAATTGTCCCCCTTGGTGCAAGCTATAACATTGGGGGAAACCGCTCAAACACCACATAGTTTAGTGAATGGGAAGCTGAGTTCCTGGGGAGAAATGGCAAGATTTGGGAAACTGAATCTCCCAGGAACCAAAGAACTGGGAATACCGGCAGAACGGGTTGTCAGTGGCATGAGCTGAGATGGTCTGTGCACACCACCTCCTTCAGGGAACAAAAACCATGTCCATTTTTAAGTGTGAACTTTGTGCTATAGCAGAAAATTAGTGGTTGTTTGGGGGAGGATCTGTTTGTCCTTATTTGAGCAATTACAACCGAGAAGCAAAGAAGTAGGCAGGACAGACTAAGTCTGCCCCTCCTCGGCAGCCTCACTCCTGAGAAGGGGCCATAAAGATAGTAACTGCTGCTGTCCTACATTTTTTCCCCCTTTTTAAGTAGGCTCCATGCCCAGCACAAAGCCCAACGCAGGGCTTGAACCCATGACCCTGAGATCAAGTCCTGAGCTGAGATCAAGAGTTGGACACTTAACCAACGGAGCCACCCAGGTGCTCCCTACATAACTGTATTTTTAGGGTTCCTCATTTTCCCAATTGCTGGGGCCAAACACCTTCAAGTCATCCTCAATGCCTGACACCCCATCACACCAGCAGAATCCTATTAGCTGTCCCTTCAAGTTCACCTAGAACCCAACCATATCTCACCATCCCTGAAGCCCCAACCCCTGCCTGAGCCATCAACATCTCCCTACACTAATTACATCAAGGGCTTGCTAGCTGGCTTCCCTGTTTCCGCCCCTGCTCCTACCTCCACTGGCTTCCCATCCTCCTCAGAATAAACCTGAAGTCCTTACAATGAACATGAGTGGCCTGTAAAGTCCTGTATGATCTGCTTAGCACCTCATCTATAACAGGCAGGGTTCTTATATAAATTTATGTCTTTATTTAAATATATCTAATTATTTATTTAAATTTATATTTATATATAATCTTAGCATATCTAATTTTATATATTGCATATATAGAGATTTATCATAAGGAATTGGCTGACATGGTTATGGAGGCTGAGAAGTCCCACGTTCTGCTATCTGCAAACTGGAGACCCAGGAGAGCCAGCGGTGTAAGTTCCAATCTCAGTGGAAAAGACCAGTGTTCCAGCTCAAAATCAGGCAAGATCTCAAATTCTCCCTTACCCCTCATTTTGTTCTATTCAGGTCTTTACTAGATTGGATGAGGCCCACCCACATAGGGGAGGGCAATCTGGTTTACTGGGCTACCGATTCAAATCTCGATCTCCTCCAGGAACACCCTTATAGACACACACAGAATAATGTTGAGGCAAACATCTGCGTATTCCCATGACTCCATCAGGTTACCACATGAAATTAACCATCACGTCATCTCAAGTCATTTTTCTTCTTTCTTGGTTTAAGATTCATTAGGGAGCACTTACTATCCGTCAGGCACTGTTCTAAGGGCTTTCTAATTATTTATCCTTGTAACAAGCCTATGAGGTAGGTGTTACCATTATCATCATTTTACAGATGAGAACCTTGAGGCACAGAAAGGACAAATAACTTGCTTGAGGTCACCTAACTTGTATATGGTAGAACTGGGGCTTGAACCTGGGCAGCTTGGCTCTAGAAGACATTCTTGCAACTTTACTACCTCTTCCCTTCTCAATCACCTCCAGCCACACTGCCTTCCTAGTTGCTTCAGTATACCCGCTACTTTCCTATGACAGGACCTTTGCATGTGTTCTTCTCACTGGTTTAAAAACTTCTCTCTAGCTATTTTCTCAATTATGCCCTCATCTCTTCCGGTCTCTGTTCAGATGTCACCACCTTATCCATATCTGCTTCAACACACACCCCCTGCCCTATTATATATTTATTGATGCATTTATTTACTGCCTGTCTCCCACATTGAAATGTCAACTCCAAAAAAGCAAGGGTTTTTGTTTGTCTTGCTCAGTGCTCCGCTGTAGAGCCTACCAGAGACCATAATAGGCATTAAATAAGCATGTGCCAAATGAATATAAGACTGTACAAACTGGACCTTAAGAAGTGTTGAAAATCAGAGGAAATGACCTTTTGTTTTGTAATCTGAAAGCAATACTGCAAGGACGCAATTCCCTGGTGAATAAATGCATGTGGTACTGATTTTATGCTATGTTCTAAGAGGAGGCAGAGGAAAAACTATCCAAAGAGGCATTCCCCCCACCTCCCTCCTTGAGGTTGGAACATTTGCACAACACCTCGTCGGTAGTCCTGCATGAGAAAGGCTGACTGGGTACGCAATCTACGCGCAGATGGGGGAAGAAAGCAACGAGGAGGGAATTCCCTCCTCTCCAAGCCTCAGGCTCTTGGGCTTGCCCTCAGAAGCATCTCAGTCACTCCAGATGACACTCTCCGCTAATGTGAGGCAGGAACACTGATTATTTGGCCGTCTTAGGTAAAAATCTCAGTGGGATAGATCCCCATTACCGGCTCCATACATGCTAGCCTTCTTAGTAGTGCATACAACTGTGTTCTGATGCCCTATTACCAACTGTTGTTTGACTCGCCGATGCCTTGCCTATAGGGAAAGAACAGTGCCTGCTCTGTCCCGTACCTGTGCCATCATCATCCTTCTAACCTACTCACAGAGAAAAGAAACACCTCCTGACATGAGGTCCCACAACTTCCTGCCTGCAACCTGACATATGCAATAGACACCTCCACTCATCTTTTCCTCCGTCCCTGTGTGTATGATGGAGGATACATCCAGCCTCCCCAAAATGGTCTGATTCACATCTGTTTTTAACTTCTCAGAAATAGGCAGTCAACCACCTCAGAAAAAATGGATCCAGACCTTCCCTCCTCGTTCAGCTGCTGTGTATTTCCCTCCTCTCTTTAATAACCAAACTGTGGCATCCACTTCTTTACCACCCACACCCTCCTTGGATCACTCAGTCTGATTTCTGCAATTCTCAGCCTACATCTTAACTGTTCCTGCCAAGATCAGAGGCATTCTTTTCTTTTCCCCCCAGGACTGATTGATTGATTGATTGATCTATTTGAGAGCGAGCGAGAGAGAGAGAGAGAGAGAGAGAGAGAAAGCAGGGGAAGAGAAGAGGGGGAGGGACAGGAAGACTCCTCACTGAGTATGAAGCCCAACCCATGGCTCGATCCCATGACCCTGAGATCATGACCTGAACTGAAATCACAAGTCCAAGATTTAACCGACTATGCCACCCAGGCACCAAGATCAGAGGCATTCTTGTTGCTACACCCAACGGATGCTTCCCAGTCCCTTTCATACTTGATTCACTCCTGAGCAGCATCTGACACTATCCATTACTCCTTGAGACATACACTTCTCTTGGCTTCTTGGCTCAGTGGCTCCATGGATTTCCCCTCTTTATGTCATGACTTGTTCTCATTCTCCTTAGTGCAGTTGTCCCCCCACTCTTGTCCCCTTGAATGTTGGCATTCCTCAGTGTCCTGTCTAGGCTCTCTTTTCTTATTCTACCTGTGCTACCTGGGCCATTTCATCACTTCCAAGGTGCCCATGAGCAGTGCAAGACGCTGATGACTTTCATATCTATCTCTCCAACCTACATCTCTCCCCAAGACACCGGAGTGCTGAGCCTAATTCTCAGCCTCAGCTTTTAAGGCTCAGAACCTTGTTTACCTCCTTTTCAGAGAGGCTTTTTCTCAGAAGAAACAAAGTTATAATTGCCATATAGTAAAGGTGACAAAGATGCTTGGAGTTGTCTTCACTGATTGCACTGATATTATTAGTGGTATTGTTAGCATAGCAATCATGGACATTTAAGTAAAATGCTAATTTTTTAATGTGGAAGTAGTTTTTAAAACAATAAATTAAAGCCCATTCTGAAAGGGGTGGGGGGGCCAAAAGCAAAAGGAAAATCATGCCTGATTGCAATAATGTGCAACAATGGAACGAGTTTCCATTATTCTGTTCAGTTTGGGGGGAAAGTTTGTGTATTGCACAGCCTCAGTGTAGAGCATGCTTTTAGGCTTCAATTCAGAGGAAGAATAAAAATAAAACTCAAGGGCAATCAAATGTCATTCAAAGTCACTGCACCTCATCTCTTTTTAATTAAGGCCAGGCTCAACTTTTGACTTCCCATGTGACCCACTGACCTGGGAAAGTAGATTGGCTTAATGAGCATTTCCTGCAAAGACAGAAGAGGCAATTATCATATGTATCAGGAAAAAAAAACAAAACAACCTACCATTTCAAGTGGCTTTCCTCCAAATCTTCCTCTTTCCTGAAGAACTGAATTCTCTCTCCTTACCACACTCCTTCCCCAGCCTCTCTTCCCAAAGCTCTTGGTCTTGCTCTCTTCTCCTTGTAAATGGTGAGTAGGCACTTTAACATGCATACAACTTTGGTCAATAGAGCTCTGCTTTGTCCTGTCTTACACGTAAATATTACTACCTGCATTACTTCACTCTCGGCCTCGGTAAACTCTGTTTCTGAGTGTGCCTCCCATCAAGCTCCATATTTTGAGTGGGTTCTTCTGCAGTAGATCTCAGCCTCCACATCCACCCCCAATCTCTTGAACTCATCTGTCTTCCTGGGTCTCATTTCCAGGGAAACAACAAGCAGCTACAGCCATTGCTTTGATTAAGGGTCAAATCCCCCAGTGCCTTCTTCCCTGCCCTCTTCAGCACTTGATGATTTGGAAGTTGGGGGTCAAATTTCCTGCTCGACTGCCCTTGATGCTTAGAGAAGCTTTTTTTTTTTTTTAGATCTTATTTATTTATTTAACAGAGAGAGAGAGAGAGCGAGAGAGGGAACACAAGCAAGGGGAGTGGGAGAGGGAGAAGCAGGCTTCCTGCAGAGCAGAGAGCCTGATGTAGGACTCAATCCCAGGACTCTGGGATCATGACCTGAGCTGAAGGCAGACTCTTAATGACTGAGCCACCCAGGCACCCTTAGAGAATCTTTAAGAGCACCATGGCTCTGGCCCTTCAGTACCTGTGTTTGACCTCTACCCTCATTGTTACTAGCTGCCTGCCCTTAGGTAGATTACCTAGCCTGTCTGTGCCCCAATTTCCTAATCTACAACAGTGGGGAAGTACTAGCACCTTCCTCCCAGGGTTACAGTCAAGGTTAAAGAAGATGAACCAAATAGAGCACTCATGATGCTTACTGGTCATATCCAGCCCTCAAGGAGTGTAAGTTATCATTATCCCTTTCCTACCAAATTCTACTTCGTCATAATATTTTGCCCTCAAAACCACTGCATAAACAATACATACAGTATCTTTTGCCTGCAGTACACACACAGACATTATTCAACTTTATACGTAATAAATTGCAAAGGGGAGTATCTTGCAACATATCGAAGTCTCAGATAAAGGAAAACTCCTAATAATCTGTGCTTTAAAATGATGCATCCATGGATGTTCTTGAAGCAGCTGGGTTCATTCTTGGTAGTAGAACCAACTTGACCTGGGGGGTGGGCAAGTCCCAACCTTAACAGCGCACACAGTGGTTTTAAGTGCCTGAGCAATTTCGATCCTGCCAACAGCACTATGAGGGGGCACTACTGCCCCAACATTGCAGATGTAGGAACTGAGGGCTGCAAAGGTTCAGGAATTTGCAGAGAAGACACTAATCACACTAGTAGGACAGAGTCAAACTGGAATCCAGATCATCTGTCGCTATGTCTTCTGATTCCCAAATGCTTCTGCTACTTGATCATGTTGAGTAATAGGCCCCATTTCACTGTAACTACTTCATTTTTTTAAAGATTTTATTTATTTATTTGACAGCAAGAGACAGCAAGAGAGGAAACACAAGCAGAGAGAGTGGGACAGGGAGAAGCAGGCTCCCCATTGAACAGAGAGCCCGATGTGGGGCTCGATCCCAGGACCCCAGGATCATGACCTGACCTGAAGGCAGAAGCTTAAAGACTGAGCCACCCAGGCACCTCTCACTGTAACTACTTTAGTGACTAAAATAGATGATTTGATCTAATATTGAGAATAGTTTTGGGGCAGCTGGTGGCTCAGTTGGTTGAGCGTCCTACTCTGAGTTTCAGCACCGGTCATGATCTCAAGCTCCTGAGATGGAGCCCCATGTCAGGTTCTGAGCTCAGTG